TCACAGGAACGATTTGCAGAGAGATTTCGAGCTTGTCAATTTGCTTACTGGATGTTTAGAAGCAATCAGAACAAGGAACATAGCTGCGATTAACCATTTCATTGCGAGAACCGGTGATCTTGCTTCTCCAAGAGGAAGAACCCCAATGACTCGAGTCATGGCTTACTACATCGAAGCCTTAGCTCTTCGAGTCGCGCGTATGTGGCCTCACATCTTCCACATCGCGCCGCCTCGTGAGTTCGAGAGAACAGTCGAAGACGAATCAGGAAACGCATTGAGGTTCTTGAATCAAGTAACCCCAATTCCAAAGTTCATCCATTTCACAGCCAACGAGATGTTACTAAGAGCATTCGAAGGCAAAGAGAGAGTTCACATTATCGATTTCGACATCAAGCAAGGACTACAATGGCCTAGCTTCTTCCAAAGCTTAGCTTCTCGATCCAATCCACCACACCACGTACGAATCACAGGAATCGGAGAATCGAAACTTGAGCTAAACGAAACTGGAGACCGTCTCCACGGATTCGCAGAATCAATGAATCTTCAATTCGAGTTTCACCCAGTAGTCGATAGACTCGAAGACGTTAGGCTATGGATGCTACACGTCAAGGAAGGCGAATCAGTCGCTGTAAACTGCGTTATGCAAATGCACAAGACGCTTTACGATGGTACAGGAGCTGCGATAAGGGATTTCATGGGTTTAATCAGAAGCACGAACCCAATCGCTCTCGTGCTCGCGGAGCAAGAAGCAGATCACAACTCGATGCAGCTCGAGACGCGAGTCTGTAACTCGATCAAGTACTATTCAGCGATGTTCGACGCGATTCACACGAATCTGGGTACGGATAGTTTAATCAGAGTCAAAATCGAAGAAATGTTGTTCGGGAGAGAGATAAGGAACATTGTGGCGTGTGAAGGGAGTCATAGGCAAGAGAGGCATATCGGTTTTCGACATTGGAGGAGGATGTTGGAGCAATTAGGGTTTCGGAATTTGGGAGTTACGGAGAGAGAGGTTTTGCAGAGTAAGATGTTGATTCGGATGTATGGAGATGGTGGTAACGAGGGTTTCTTTAACGTCGAGAGAAGCGATGAAGAAGAAGGCGGAGGCAACGGTGGTGGAGTCACGCTACGGTGGTCGGAGCAGCCGCTTTACACGATCTCGGCTTGGACTATCGGTGGAATCGGAGGGAGTT